TACAATAACTACACTGTCAACAGACATATAGAGGTACAATTACTTAAATCCAAGCATTCGGTAACCCTGAAATATTAAGATACAGAATGCATACTTGAATCCTTGCCATCTTCTGAGATGATGAAGATGGAACTTCATCTTCTGAATTATGATGTTCATATCTGGACTCTCCATGGGGTTCTGTGCTCTCACAGCCAACACAGAACATACCAGAATGTTTCCTTACTCTTGCTCCTGATCGGGGAGTCAATCTAGACTGAGAGTAACTCAACGAAGATGGAGGAGGAAGAGAGCTGGCCTGAAGATTCTTTTTTTGTTTCTCTACCATTTCTTGATGACGTTTCAGTTCGTCCAGAGCTTTATTGAGAGAAGCTGTACGTTTCACAGAAAGCTGTTGTAAACTTGTGTTAATTGGTTTGATGTTTTCATTTTCAACATTGGCTCTAGATTAAAATAAATGAAACGTTACTGAACTTCCAAATATTTCATAAATAAAAACACTAAATTCTATTACTTAAAATGGAAAACAACTGGAATTACCCCTAGATATTATCATTAACATTTAGATAAAGCTACCAACATATATGAAAACCAAAACCTAACCTAGTAATGAATATATACTGAGGTTAAATAATATGCAAATAACATCTTCCCCCAACTCTCTCTTATGTGCATCATCTTGACAAACCAGTCATTCTAAGATGATGTAAACAAATCACATGGAAAACAAAATGCCTATCACACTACAGGGACAAATGCCCATGATAATACATGGACAAAATACCTATAATAATAATACAGGGACAAAATGCCTATAATAATAATACAGGGACAAAATGCCTATGATAATGCAGGGACAAAATACCTATGGTAATACAGGGACAAAATGCCTATGATAATACAGGAATAAAATGCCTATGATAATACAGGGACAAAAGCCTATGATAATACAGGGACAAAATGCCTATGATAATGCAGGGACAAAATACCTATGATAATACAGGGACAAAATGCCCATGATAATACAGGGACAAAATGCCTATGATAATACAGGAATAAAATGCCTATGATAATACAGGGACAAAAGCCTATGATAATACAGGGACAAAATGCCTATGATAATACAGGGACAAAAGCCTATGATAGTACAGGGACAAAATACCTATGATAATACAGGGACAAAATACCTATGATAATACAGGGACAAAATACCTATGATAGTACAGGGACAAATGCCTATGATAATACAGTGATAAATGCCTATGATAATATACGGACAAAATGCCCATGACAATACATGAATAAAATGCCTATGATAATAAAGTGACAAATGCCTATGATAATACAGTGACAAATGTCTATGATAACCCACTTAAACAAAGTATTAAAACTGTACAATTTGCAAAAAAAGGAAGATTAAAAAGAGAAACTTGACAGACAAATGACAAAAAAAACACCGTGGGAAGAATCTAATATCGAGAGAAGATGTGGCCGCTCTGCAATACAGGACTTGTACACTTATCAAAATAACAAATTCAAGGACTTTTCCAAAACTATTTGAGGAACAACCATATTTTAAGGACCTAATACCAGAGGTGTGCTGATACCACTTTTTCCTGATTTCAGACGGCCCAGTACTGACATAATTGTCGATTTTCCTTCCCATCTTGGGAAAGGGATCTGGTGTTTTTCAACGGGGAATTTTTGCATTATAATTCTCTTAAAAAAACAATGATGAAAAGTTATGTCAAATAGTAAAACACAATAATAAACCAATTTTTTCTTGAACATTGTATTCTGTATTTTTACGTGACATTCTGTCAGTTTTATGATTTAGTCAACAATGCATTTTTGGGGGGAAATTGGGGAAAAAGGATGTTTCTTTGTCATTACGAATGAAGCCAAATTTTGGTGCTCACTACAACACCGACACAAATCCCTAATATTAATACTAAGATAATGGACAGTAAAAATCCCTAATATTAATACTAAGATAGTGGACAGTAAAAATCCCTAATATTAATACTAAGATAGTGGACAGTAAAAATCCCTAATATTAATACTAAGATAGTGGACAGTAAACTGGGTAAACAACAAATAATATCAACCACATAATTCATAAGATATTTCTCAATTAATATATTTACATTTTAACAAATAAGTCCTTCTTAATACTTTACCTACCGGATAATCAGACTATCTATCAACTCAGCATCATATAAATATTTCAACAAAATATAAACAATTATACACAATGTGTTTTGCTCCTGTCTCCTTATACACTAACTGGTATTATTATTATTTTTCTTATATCACTGTTGACTAGAAAGATCTGCTTTTGTAGTTATTCCAATATTACAAAATTTATTCTCAAACCAGAGACCATCACGTTCGTTCGCCACCTATTTTAACAAAACATGACCGTACAACAATGAAGGAATTCACTTGTTTATATGTTTTATATAATTTATTATTGGACAAACACTCCCAGAAATACATCATCACTTTTAATATTTCCTTGAATTATTAAACAGTGTAGATCCTGAAAACAAAACAAACCCCATCTTTCTTTACAGTTACTTTCCTTAACATTACCAATTATGATGTTTAAAATGCTTTCTAATGAGTTATTGTAATTATCTTTACTTTTAATTGATATACACAGATTCATAAAAGAAAATCTCAATTTCTTTTTCTGTATCTGCTACTAGTCAGCTCAACCCAGTTTTGCAATTAACGTACATCAAAACCTCTCACTTATACTACAGAAAGTATACAAAGAGTAGTAAGAAAAGTTTACCTCTGATGATATCCTCCAAAAAACCTGACATCATACACCCCATTTTCCTGCTTTATCACTTTGGCTGGCCAGTAAAGAAATCCTTTCTGTCTTGCCCAAACCAATTCATGAGGGGGATTCTTCAAGAAAAATATTATGTTCACGACATGATATATATATATATATACAATCCCATCTCCCCTCAGCAGAATAGATTTGTTTTTCACATTCACTAAGCATTGATAAATAATTCACTATAAAACCCACAAAGTTTATACATTTATCACTGACAGCAGCTGCAAGCAGGAGAAAGTTAAATTCAACTGAACATTATTATAGAAAATACGGCATCAGCAGCTTAGAAGTTCATCATAAACTTTTTTATAACAACTGTATAAAACTAAAATCTCCTGGTGGGTCAGTGGTAAGTTTACAGACTTACAACACTAAAACCTGGAGTTCAATCACCCGCAGTGAACATAACATAGTCCAATGTGGCTTTGTGCTAAATGAAAAACAAACAACATGGAAACATCCTCTTTTTTTATATCTCATAGATGATATTTACCTGAGACCAGGAGTAAAACACAATCATTCTAAACTGGATATTGTTCTTCTCCACAGAATTTAAAACAATCATTCTAAACTGGATATTGTTCTTCTCCACAGAATTTAAAACACAATCATTCTAAACTGGATATTGTTCTTCTGCACAGAATCTAAAACACAATCATTCTAAACTGGATATTGTTCTTCTCCACAGAATTTAAAACAATCA